AATGTTGGATATATTCTCAGAGATTTTTATTCTTATCTTTTGAATTTCTAATGCTTGGTTCAAATAATAATAATTTGAGAAACTGTAACAATAACAGAAATAGATCAGTAATAATCTGTTATTAATGATGATAATAATGAGATGATGATGATAATGATGATGAAAACTTTATGGAATGATGATAAAATAACCGTTTTAATTAGTTAACTCGTCAGATATTAACGCCAATCGATACAGAAAGGTAACAGAAATTTATAAATATAAATATAAATATTGAACGTTCATCTCTTCACCCTCCTACAATCTTCTTATTTATTCTTTATCCATTTCTTTTCTAAGTGTTACAAGACAAATGTTAAAGTCTAAACGAGTTAATCATAAGTAAATTAAATAGCCTTATATTTCTAAATCGAGCAGTTACATCACCATCATCCAGTTGTTTTATGAGTGAATTAGTTAACTTAGTTTAATTAATTTAACTGGTCGATTATTTGATTGTTATTGTAAGTCTTTCCTTAAGGATACCAATATTTGTAGCATATGTAGAATGAATTGTTATCTAATAATTATTAATGATTATGAAAACTTCATGTGTAATAACCATTTGAATTACTTAACCCGTAAGATAGTAATGTCAAACGATACAGTAGTATACAATGAATGCACTAATAATTATGCCGTAATCAAACGCATTAATTAATTAATAATCATCCTAAATTTTACTTTCATAACTAATTTGTATTTTCTTTTTCTTTCTTTTTCAAAAAAAGAAAGAAGAAATCACTAAAAATACAAAGGCACAAAAAGTTATAATAAAGTGATTTGTAAATGAATGAAGCAATTGATCAAAATAGAAAAGAAAGCAAAACTGAGAGGGAATAAACAAAGTAAATGGGCAACAATAAGAACAAATGATAAATGATTAAACAAACACAATGATATGATTATTCTTTGTATTCTCTCTTTTCAACTTAAAATGAAAAGAAGAAGTTAGTCTTAAGAGCACTTACAAAGGCAATAATATGTTGAAAAAAAAAAAATTAAATGAAAAGCAAATGCTTCTCATTTTCATCAAATTTTAATGTGTTGTAATTTGAAAAATCATTGAAGAAAGAAAAGGACAAAAGAAAAACTTCCTTTGTTGCTAATATTTTCTGAAATTTTCTTTCTTACTTTCTTTTTTATGTTAAAAAATCTTTAAGTGCGAAACATAATGCAACTCTTTTACCTCTGTGTAACATAAATGAACCTTTGACCTCTGTGTAATGCTTAATAAAAGCGAAAATTTTTTCAATTTGAATATTAGCATAGAAAAAACTTGCACTATTTACTAGTCAAGAAATGATAAGACTCGAAAATTATCACCTTTGAAAGGGAATATAAGCAATGGAAATGATAATAACGGGGATTTTACAATTTTCATTTGTTACATCATGTAGAAATGCTTTATTATCTTTTCGTTTCAGTGAGGATTTCATAATGACATCTGTCATAATGTCCATTACTGATTGATAAATCGAGCGGTATCAAATATGCATTTTATTTTGAAAAACTTTTTTTTGTAATGTAAAAAAAAATTAGTGAATTCAATTTGTCGATACGTTTCTCTTTCTACAAGCATTCGAGAATACCCTATCATTGGTAATAAATTTGGTTTTAAGAAAATTTTGAGAAATATATTGCTAAGATTTGATCGCATATTACTACCGTTTCATGCTCAATTTGAAGATTTTAAGTATTTAAACTCAATTCGTTAACCTCATGCCAATTTAAAAAAAAAAAAAAATATTGTAAATTGAGTCATATCAGAAAGCAACATTATTTTATTGACAGAGTAACTGAAACTATTCTGTAGATGTTTGAAGGCTTTAAAAAAAAAGAAATCAGAAGAAGGTGTGGAAAATAAATTGGGAAATACTTGGATCAGATCTGTTTAGATTTCCGCTTCCGCTTCCGCAAGTATAATAGAGTTCCGCACGATGAAACGAATCGTTTTTATTATTCATTCATAGAATTTTGTAAAACCAAAGAAATCAAACTGTGATGGATGAATTGGATATGTTTACAATAATGTTGCGGGATTAACATTTCCTAAAAATTTTATCATAAACTGGAATAGAATAATTGGAACAAATCAAAAGTGATAACAAGATTAGAAGTTTCATTGGATAACAAACCATTAAATTTAATTGCATACTAACAACTAATTAGCAATGGATGGATTTTCCCAAGAATAAATGGAATATATGGATTTAGGGAAAGTTGCAGATTTATAAAGCTTTGCAAAAATTAGTAATTCCGTGATTAACTAGTTAAATTAAACCACTCAATTGCTAGTTAGTCTTTGTTGCGTGCATACATGCACATGCATGTTGCATATACGCAAATGCAAGAATAAATGTTCAAATCGAATGTGATTTTGGATTAGCCTACACACGCGTGTATTAAACAATTGCCCAAACTTTAATTTCAGTTGTTTTAACTTTTGCATATTTGATCGATGTCGACCATAAAACGAAATTATTTGAAATATGATTTATTATTAATACTGCACATTCTCCGGATATCATAACTTCTCATGGGATGTTTATTTGGATTAAAATATTAACAAATGGATCCACGAAATAATTTAATTGTCATAGAATCATAAGTCTCAACATCATAGGATTCTTTCAATCTGTTGAATCGATATATCAAATCAAAATACATTTCGAATTTCGATTCTTGTTTAATTATTAAAAACTGCTAACATTGGATTTGGATTTCCTAAAAATTTCGTAAATTACCATTATGATATACCCGAGGAAACAATAATAGATATTGGTATTTGATATATGGTTGTACACTATTAATCGATAATCAAATTTCATATTTCCAAAGAAATGTTTATAAATCGATAAGCAGAAGGAAAAATACGTCCAATCAAATTTTTAGCATAATTATGTGATTTTCTTCCTCCTAATTTTCACAACTAAACAGAAATTATATAATTTATTTAAAAATTAAAAATTAAAAGGTTAAAAACTAAACAGAAGTTATTTAATTAAATTTAAAAATTAAAAGGCCATTTTTATCTCTTCTTTTTGAAATGAATTCGTAATGAAAATTTTAATATTAGAAAATACTTTAAGGTAATTTTTTTCTGTTTTTCTGTGTTGATAACAGTTAATAATTGTTGATATTACAGTTTCCCAGTTATCAGTATGGATATTTTGAATCACTCTTATCATGAATGATTGAGAACTAACGATAGTATTAAATCATCAGTAGCAATTAATTCTGGATTTATTCCACTAAAACAAATAATAATCTAATCTGATCTTTGATATATTATCAATTACACCAGGACTAATAATGCTTTCAATTCCAACTGTTTTGCTCCGTTATCCCCTTTGATGTGTGCGACATTTCTTTTATTACAACAATTATCAAATGATTTTTGAAATTCAAATAGAACTAAAAGAAAAATGAGGAAGCAAATAAAATAAGAAAGTTAAGAAAAAAAAGAGAAAACAGAGAAATATAGCAAAAAAGAATAAAAAATAATAATTATCTTGTTATGATAACAAATAGAAAAACAGTATGAAAAGAGAAAATGCATGAAAATGTATTGGAATGTTGAAATGTTGTGATTCAATATTTGTTACCATTCAAACTTTCAAAATGTATGCCAAATATTTGAATGATAAAAGGAAATGTTAAAATTTGGAAATGCAAACAATCAGTTTAAAATAGAATTGATTACTGATAAGAAGGCTTTTGCAAAAAAAAAAAAAGATTTCATATAAGGGTAAGCAAAATTTCATTATTTAAAGAAAAGAAGAAAAAAGGAAAATTTGTTTAGACTTTACTACTACTGCTACTACCATTTGGTAAACAGAAAGACAAGCAATGAGGTTTTGAAATCGATGAAAGAAAATACTCGGATATTATTTAGTTTAACAGAGAGAGAGAGAGAGAGAGAGAGAGAGAGAGGAGAGAGAGAGAGAGAGAGAGAGGAGGAG